AAGTGCTTGGTGAAAGGATTCGAAAGTCGACTGCAGATTCCAATCTTTTCTGCAACATGCTCGTCGACGTTGTTTTCGAGGCGATCTCCTTTGATTCCGGTGAAAAAAGGCTAAGCTCTCCTCTTTTGCATGATGGGCATCATCCGACCAGGGCTTCATCATTATGACCATGTTCAAGCTAGCGTCATACCACGGTCGAAAGATGAGCACGTTTTCACCAGAATTGAAGGAGATTTCCACGGAGACGGCGTTCTCGAGAATGTGGCAGCAAAGCCAGTCAAAAGTTGGTCAAAAGAAGTCCACCGTAGTTTTCTGATGGGATTCAACTTCGAATATCTTCATCAAACACTTTCACTCGAAATGGAAGTTAGCTCAACAATTATACATCGGAAGATTCCTCGAAAGCCGACTTTTATTCGCATATTGTCTCGGCTCACTTGTCACATCGTTGACGATGAGGATGAAGAGGACAGTGACATTAGAGATACTGAAGACGCCAATGTTGGTTGTTGTCGCCATCGTCATGAGTGCTGGTGCCAATGAACATAATAATGACTACGGTAGTGCTTGTTTGTTTGTTTAGTGGTTGCCTTTTCGATACCGATTATGAGGATAATTATGCTGGTGTTTGGATTCGCCATTATCATGATGGCGCTTGTGAGGGCATCGCTATCCCTCTTACTGCTACGGATTTTGACATTGGTGGTTCCCATGGTTTCACTGCTCATACTCCTTCCAAATACTGTCATGCATTCGGCATTTTGGGCTAGAATTGAGTCATTTGGGCAAAAAGCCTCCTGAACTGTAAAGCTTCAGAATGACCTCGATAAATGCGAGAATGGAGTATGCAGCTCGAATGGTTTGAATTGAATATTTTCATTGTATCGTATATCACCCGAAAGAGGGTTCCTACACTACAAGTAGCACAGCCTCTGTCCAGTCCGCGGAAGTCGGACTATGGCCTAAGGGTTTCTGGTGAATGCGGATTGCTATTTGGATTCCTCGGACAGAATGGTATACGATGGCAATGCGAAGAAAAGTTGGGTTTCGAGAAATTTCTTGTTTCATAATTGGTGAGCTTACTTCCATTTCAAGTAAAAGTGTTGGGGGAAGAGATTCGAAGGTCGGTTCCACCAGAAGAAGACAGCGGATTTCTCTTGACCAGCTGTCGATTGGCCTTACTGAAACATTCATGTTGACGCTGTTTCCGAGGCAATCTCCTTCGATTCCGATGAAAAGGAGCTAAGCTTTCGTCCGTCGTATGACGGACATCATCAGAGCGAGGTAACATCGTCACAACAAAATTCAAGCTAAGGAGTCAAGAAAACTCACCGGCAAATCCATAAAAAGTGGTATATTTACTCTACATCTAGCCTCTTTGATCAAGTTGACATATGACCTTAACTAACCAACTCACTTTATACTTGATCAAAGAGGCCAGATGTAGAGAATATATACCCCTTTTTAGGGATTTGCCGTTCAGCTTCCATGACTCGTTAGCTTGAATTTTGTTGTGACGATGTTACCTCGCTCTGATGATGTCCATCATATGACGGACGAAAGCTTAGCACCTGTTCACCGGAATCGAGTGAGATTGCCTCGGAAACCGCGTCAGCATGAATGTTGCAGTGAAGCCAATCGACAGCTGATCAAGAGGAATCCGCCGTCGTCTTCTGGGGGAACTGACTTTAGAATCTCTTTACCCAACACTTTCACTCAAAATGGAAGCAAGCTCAACAAATACGATGCAAGTCTAAGGTTGGAGCTCGTAGTGGAGCAAAATAGCGCATTTTATGGATGCACTAAATATAGTTAATCTACAATTATATTACTTTCTACTGTAAGTAGGCGGGTAATTAAATTCAAAATAGCAGTCGGGCTCTTATGATTAAGCGAAAATATTTTTAAGCATAGATACCGAGACGAAGTCAGGCCACATCGAAAATGTTTTTGTTGATGTGACGAATTTCATTTGGTATGTTGGTTCCTATCTGACCTTTCTTTCTAAACACAGTTATGAACTAAGGGCAAAGTTTTGAAGTTTATGACTATTAGAAATATGCGGCTAGCTGACAGACACCATTTGGCTGAAGAGGTTGAACTGATGCAATAGTTGTTCAGGCAGAATAATTACCCCTTGGGCCTAATTGATAATAATCTATGGAGCTCATCATCCAGAGTATACATCCAAGATTACGCATCCGCATACCTTTTTTCGGGTCATTAGGCCTTAATGACTCGGGGCTGATGTTAGGCTCCCTTTTGTAATCAGTCGAAGTTATGGTATTGCTTACACACATTAAAAAACACACAATGATTTACTGGTAGTCTCGAAACCCTACTTTCTTACGAATATAAGTAACGTTGTCGATTTCTATA